ATCTTCATCAACATTTAACAATTCCTCAAAATATTCCCTCATGTGAGCATGTATAGTCTCTTTATATAAAGGAAAGGGGGACAAAAGAGATTGTAAAAATTATAGAGGAATAAGTTTACTGAGTATACCAGGAAAAGTGTACAGTAGGAATATAATTGAAAGAATTAGAGGCAAGATAGAATGTAGGATTGCGGATAAGCAAGGAGGTTTCAGAGTGGGTAGGGGATGTGTAGATCAAGTGTTTACATTGAAGCATATATGTGAACAGTATTTAGATAAAGGTAGGGAAGTTTTTATTGCATTTATGGATTTAGAAAAGGCATATGATAGAGTGGATAGGGGAGCAATGTGGCAGATGTTACAAGTATATGGAATAGGTGGTAAGTTACTAAATGCTGTAAAGAGTTTTTATGAGGATAGTGAGGCTCAGGTTAGGGTGTGTAGAAGAGAGGGAGACTACTTCCCGGTAAAAGTAGGTCTTAGACAGGGATGTGTAATGTCACCATGATTGTTTAATATATTTATAGATGGGGTTGTAAAGGAAGTAAATGCTAGGGTGTTCGGAAGAGGGGTGGGATTAAATTATGGGGGATCAAATACAAAATGAGAATTGACACAGTTGCTTTTTGCTGATACTGTGCTTATGGGATTCTAAAGAAAAATTGCAAAGGTTAGTGGACGAGTTTGGGAGTGTGTGTAAAGGTAGAAAGTTGAAAGTGAACATAGAAAACAGTAAGGTGATAAGGGTATCAAATGATTTAGATAAAGAAAAACTGGATATCAAATTGGGGAGGAGGAGTATGGAAGAAGTGAATGTTTTCAGATACTTGGGAGTTGACGTGTCAGCGGATGGATTTATGAAGGATGAGGTTAATCATAGAATTGATGAGGGAAAAAAGGTGAGTGGTGTATTGAGGTATATGTGGAGACAAAAAATATTATCTATGGAGGCAAAGAAGGGAATGTATGAAAGTATAGTAGTACCAACACTCTTATATGGGTGTGAAGCTTGGGTTGTGAATGCAGCAGCGAGGAGGCGGTTGGAGGCAGTGGAGATGTCCTGTCTAAGGGCAATGTGTGGTGTAAATATTATGCAGAAAATTCGGAGTGTGGAAATTAGGAGAAGGTGTGGAGTTAATAAAAGTATTAGCCAAAGGGCTGAAGAGGGGTTGTTGAGGTGGTTTGGTCATTTAGAGAGAATGGATCAAAGTAGAATGACATGGAGAGCATTTAAATCTGTAGGGAAAGGAAGGCAGGGTAGGGGGTCGTCCTCGAAAAGATTGGAAGGAAGGGGTAAGGGAGGTTTTGTGGGCGAGGGGCTTGGACTTCCAGCAGGCATGCGTGAGCGTGTTTGATAGCAGTGAATGGAGACGAATGGTATTTGAGACCTGACAATCTGTTGGAGTGTGAGCAGGGTAATATTTAGTGAAGGGATTCAGGGAAACCGGTTATTTTTATATAGCCGGACTTGAGTCCTGGAAACGGGAAGTACAATGCCTGCACTCTAAAGGAGGGGTTCGGGATATTGATAGTTTAGAGAGATATGTTGTGTATCTTTATACGTACATGCTTCTAAGTTGTTGTGTTCTGAGCACCTCTGCAAAAACAGTGATAATGTGTGAGTGAGGTGAAAGAGTTGAATGATAATGAAAGTATTTTCTTTTTGGGGATTTTCTTTCTTTTTGGGTCACCCTGCCTTGGTGGGAGACGGCCGACTTTTAAAAAAAAAAAAAAAATAATGAACGACTTCCAGCAAGCATGCGTGAGCGTGTTAGATAGGAGTGAATGGAGACGAATGGTATTTGGGACATGACAAGCTGATGGAGTGTGAGCAGGGTAATATTTAGTGAAGGGATTCAGGGAAACCAGTTATTTTTATATAGCCAGACTTGAGTCCTGGAAATGGGAAGTACAATGCCTGCACTCTAAAGGAGGGGTTTGGGGTGTTGGCAGTTTGGAAGGATATGTTGTGCATCTTTATATGTATATGCTTCTAAACTGTTGTATTCTGAGCACCTCTGCAAAAACAGTGATTGTGTGAGTGAGGTGAAAGTGTTGAATGATGATGAAAGTATTTTCTTTTTGGGGATTTTCTTTCTTTTTTGGGTCACCCTGCCTCAGTGGGAGACAGCCGACTTGTTGAGAAAAAAAAAATGAATGGAGACAAATGGTTTTGGGGACCTGACAAGCTGTTGGAGTGCGAGTGGGGTAATATTTTGTGAAGGGATTCAGAGAAACTGGTTAGCCGGACTCGATTCCTGGAGGTAGGAGGTACGATGCCTTCACTTTAAAGGAAGGGGCTGAGATATTGGCAGTTGGAAGTTGTGACATCTAAACTGTCATATCTGGGCACCTCTGCAAAGATAGTGATTATGTATGAAGGATGGTGAAAGTGCTGAATGATGGTGAAGGTGTTTCTTTCTTTTTTGGGTCACCCTGCCTTGGTGGTAGATTGCCAATGTCCTAAATAATAATAATAATAATAATAATAATAATAAATAATAATAATAAATAATAATAATAAATACAGTGGACCCCCGGTTAACGATATTTTTTCACTCCATAAGTATGTTCAGGTGCCAGTACTGACCGAATTTATTCCCATAAGGAATATTGTGAAGTAGATTAGTCCATTTCAGACCCCCAAACATACACATACAAACGCACTTACATAAATACACTTACATAATTGGTCGCATTCGGAGGTAATCGTTATGCGGGGGTCCACTGTAATAATAATAATTCTAGGTGGTAGGTTGGTAGACAGCAACCGCCCAGGGAGGTACTACCGTCCTGCCAAGTGAGTGTAAAACGAAAGCCTGTAATTGTTTTACATGATGGTAGGATAGCTGGTGTCTTTTTTCTGTCTCATAAACATGCAAGATTTCAGGTATGTCTTGCTACTTCTACTTACACTTAGGTCACACTACACATACATGTACAAGCATATATACACACACCCCTCTGGGTTTTCTGCTATTTTCTTTCTAGCTCTTGTTCTTGTTTATTTCCTCTTATCTCCATGGGGAAGTGGAACAGAATTCTTCCTCCATAAGCCATGCGTGTTATAAGAGGTGACTAAAATGCCGGGAGCAAGGGGCTAGTAACCCCTTCTCCCATATAAATTACTAAATTTGAAAAGAGAAACTTTCGTTTCTCTTTTTGGGCCACCCTGCCTTGGTGGGATACGGCTGGTTTGTTGAAAAAAAAAATAATAATAATAATAATAACTGGCTGATTTTCTTTCTTCAGTCAACAAACCAGCCATATCCCACCAAGACAGGGTGAACCAAAAAAGAAAATCAAAACTTTCTCTTTTAAAATTTAGTAATTTATACAGGAGGAGGAGGAGTGACTAGCCCCTTGCTCCTAACTGGCTGACCTAATATAATAATTTTTCATGGGGAAGTGAAACAGAATTCTTCCTCCATAAGCCATATATGTCGTAAGAGGTGACTAATATGCCAGGAGCAAGGGGCTTGTAGCCCCTTCTCCTGTATATATTACTATATTTCAAAAGAAAAGCTCTCATTCTTTTTTTTTTTAGGTCACCCTACCTCGGTGGGATACGGCCGGATTTTTAAAAAATAAAAATAATAATAATACTAAATAAAGACTAACAAAATTTATCTAGCCAATGATTTCTTTCTCCAGCTACACTGACCAACATAAATTGGTCATTTTCGGATCACTATTGTGAAGAGAGACATAACACTGAACTAAAATTATTGTTATTACAGGACTGATTTCATTTTCATCAATTAACCATTATTCAATTTCCCATTTCTATTGGTAATTTAATATATGTACTATACATTTGTATTAATCAAGAGGGCTGAAGAGGTGTTGCTGAGGTGGTTTGGTCATTTAGAGAGAATGGGACAAAGTAGAATGACTTGGAGAGCATATAAGTCTGTAGGGGAAGGAAGGAAGGAAGGAAAGGTAGGGGTTGTCCTCAAAAAGGTTGGAGGGAGGGGTGTAAAGGAGGTTTTGTGGACGAGGGGCCTGGACTTCCAACAAGCATGCATGAGCATGTTAGATAGGGGTGAATGGAGACAAATGGTTTTTGAGGCCTAACAAGCTGTTGGAGTGTGAGCAGGGTAATATTCTGTGAAGGTATTCAGGGAACTGGTTAGCTGGACTCGAGTCCTGGAAATGGGAAGCAAAATGCCTGCATCTTAAAGGAGGGGTATGGGATATTGGTAGTTTTGAGGGACATCTAATTTGTCGTATCTGAGCGCCTCTGCAAAGAAAGTGATTATGTATGAGTGATAGTGAAAATGTTAAATGACGATGAAAGTTTTTTTCTTTCTTTTTGGGTATTTCTTTTTGGGTCACCCTGCCTCAGTGGGCAATGGCCAACGTGTTAAAAAAAGAAAAAAAATTTTGTATGTGATGAGAGCAGTTTGCTGAGTAAGGAAATAACAATGAAAGCAATGGTGGAGAGATGAGGTTGTTTAGCTATGACAGTAGCAATAATAAGTGAGTGATGGTGGAGAGATGAGGTTGTTTAGCTGTGATTGCAGCAGCAATAATAACAGTGAGTGATGGTGGAGAGATGAGGTTGTTTAGCTGTGATTGTAACAACAATAATAACAGTGAGTGATGGTGAAGAGATGAGGGTGTTTACCTGTGACTGTAGCAGCAATAATAACAATGAGTGATGGTGGAGAGATGAGGTTGTTTAGCTGTGATTGTAGCAGCAATAATAACAATGAGTGATGGTGGAGAGATGAGGTTGTTTAGCTGTGACTGTAACAACAATAATAACAGTGAGTGATGGTGGAGAGATGAGGTTGTTTAGCTGTGACTGTAACAACAATAATAACAGTGAGTGATGGTGAAGAGATGAGGGTGTTTACCTGTGACTGTAGCAGCAATAACGAACAATTTTGTAACCAGCTCAATTGACTCATTCTATTTTGTCTTGAATTTCCAAAGCCCATTAAATCACGGCCAGTTAACGTGAAGTTTACTGTACTAATATGCATTGTACTAACCGGGTTAACACGACTTGTGGTGCTGGAGAGGATACCAGAGACGTCACTGGTAGGCGGTGACAAGCGACAAACACGCTTGTTCCTCTCACTCTCCATAGCTTCCTTCAAGGTAACAAAAATACAAAAATTAATTCCAACATGAATTTTTCAGAAAGATAAAAACTCACAATAACCCCTTCTCCTGTATACATTACTAAATTTAAAAAGAGAAACTTTCATTTTTCGTTTCAGGTCACCTGCCTCGGTAGGATATGGAACAATTCATAAATAAGTGGTCTTCAACTTGCCTCTGATCTTGTTTGGGTTAAAATAGTGACTGAGGAGTTTTCTTGGATGGTTGTCTTGCTTTTATTGGCTGTTTCTTGGTGTTAATTGATAGAGTGGAAGCATACTATTGAAATGCAAATGATTTTGGTCAGTTTCAAACATGAAATGATTTGAAATAGACCTCAAAATAGCAGCAATATTTGATTTTTGGTGATTTTCCTGAGGAAGGAAAGGAGTCCTGCTACCCCTCCCTCCCTGGTTTATTTTATGGGTTTCTATTAAACCTGCTTCCATTTTGATGGATTTTTTTATAAGCCGAGAAATAGGGTAACACTTTGATATCTTGTGATGGTGGATTGAAAATGAAGGGAAAGTGTTATAGCATAGGAGAGGCCTGAAGGAAGTGATTAACCCTTTGGGGGTCGACAGGTCCTCTCAGAGACTTGTTCTCAGGGTCAGCCAAATTTCAAAAAAAAAAAAAAAAAAAAAAATTATTTTTTCTCATGAAAAGATAGAGAATCTTTTCCCGATCATAATGACACCAAAAGTATGAAATTTGATGGAAAACTTACGGAATTATGCTCTTGCGAAGTTAGCCTTCTCGACGATGTTTACGCATCACCAATTTTGCCCACTTTGAGCCCTATTTTCGGCCAATTCCAGTGTACTAGTCGACAAGAATCATAACTATTTCGCTAAAACTCCATTTTTTCTATCAAATGAGTACAAGAAACCACCCATTTACCGATTTCAACTATCCAATAAAGTGGTCAGAATTTAGCAATTTTGCCAATTTCACACAAATTTCAAAAGATGCCAATTTCCGAACAGGGTCCAGAATAAACAAGAAAGACATTCCTGGCACTAAAATAACAAGTTCTCTGTTTGTTAGTCACATCCCCAAGCCCCTCTTATATTTCTATGGCTTTCCACTTTGAATTTTTATTCTTACAAAAAAAAAAATAAGATTTACTGTTATGCAGACTACTGCATTAGTGTAGAAATGGTATAAATAATATCAGCGCACTTCTGAAAAAATATTAGACTCACCAGTTGACGTGTATTGGATGCTTGGCATGATTTGTTTACTTTTGAACGTTGGTAAAAATCGAACATTTCTGCTAATTTGAGCTCAATTTCAAGGTACTTTTCATTGTAAAATCAGTCAAAATCATCTCAATTTCTGTAATATGTCTTCCATTCTATAAAAAGAGACCAAGAAAACTAGAATACAACAATAAATACCATATGAAAATACAGTGCAAAGTCGCTGTTTTAATCCAAAAACATGGTCAAAGTTTTTTTTTTCTTATTACACACTGTGTCTGTAGGATTTTTTTTATACTGCGCACACTAACCACATAGACCCATTCTTACATATGTAGGCCTACCAGCTTTCTCTCACTAGATTTGAGGGCGCTAGAATTTAGGCATACTAGTACGTCAAAAACCCTGGGTCGTAAGATGTACTAGTACTTCCGAAACTCCCAAAGGGTTAATGAAGAGGAAACATTACTTTAGGGGTTGGAATGTCTACAATGTTTATTACTGGGCTCGGTTGGGAATTTGGAATTTGATGAATTTTGTTTAAAACTGGCCAGATTATTAACTTCTGGGCACTTTACTGGGTAGTTCTGATAGATGAATGACCAAAAATAGCTAAGAACTGGGTCTCTTTGATCAATGGACATGGCTAAAATAGGCCCCAAATTGAGAAAAATTACAGTTACATAAAGTGCTTACTGACTTTGAACTTCAAGGCTGTATAATTCCCCAAGTTTAATGCCAAATTTTACTTTTTTGGAGTTACCTCAAAAAGAGATTATTTACTATTTTGGAAGATAATTCTATTTATCTTGCAACCCTGATGTATCTTCTAATTTTTGTGGCCATGACAGGGAAAGTGTTAAAATGAACATGATAATAGTCCACAACATATCAAAATGTTATTCAACTTTAATCTATTTATAAGTTATTTGTGAATTAAATATTTATACTGAAGATGTTCCAATTACTGCATTTGACAGGACAATTGAAGAGAATTGTTTAAGATAATGGAGAGTGAGAGTTGCAGTACCCCAGGAGAGACTCCTAGCTTCCTCTTGACTGTCTTGGTGCTGGTCAGGTGAGGAGTATCAACAATGACAGCCGCTGTTGCTGCTGAGGGTTTACTTCTGGTACTCTGAGAGTTGAACCTTCCTGCCTCACTACAACCCAGGATCATTGGTTGTCCAACTTCTTGTGCCAGACCAAAGTCTACCAAGGAGTACCTAATAAAATGAAGTGGAATTAGGTTAATTTATCAACAAAACAAAAATTAAACATCTTGCTACAGTATCCTAGCTTCAATGCTCTACTACTGTACTAAAATAGAAATACATATAAGTAATGCAGTAGACCTACTGGCCCATCATTCCACTTGTGTATTAGTGTGTGTGGTCTAATTTGAAAAACAATCTGGATATTAGTGTCAAAGCTCCACTTCAGTGTCTTCCACTCATTTAAAACTCAAAGTACCAATGGAGGAATTTCCTAAACCCTTTATTAAATTTGAATTTATTCAGTTAGAATTTTTTTTAACCCTTTCACTGTCAGGGTCACGAAATTAAAAGTGCTTACAGTCAGGATTTTTACAAGGATAAAATCTGAAATGGTAAAGAATCTTTAGAAAAGTAATGGTACTAAAAGTACAAAATTTGATGGAAAACTTATGAAATTACACAGGCACTTTGGAATTACACAATGACTTTGCCCGCTCTGAGTCCTAGTTTAAGCCAATTCCATTGTTCCATTTAACCAAATTCTATACTATTTCACTATTATACCTTCCATTCTATCAGCTGAGCACAAGAAACTGTTCATTCAACTATTTCAACTGCCCTATAAATTGCACAGAAGTTGGTAATTTGGCCAATTTTACATAAATTTAAAAAATACCAGTTTATAAACAGAGTGCAAAATAAATAATGTAAACATTCCTGGCACTAAAACAACATTTCCTCTGTTCATCATCATGTCCCCAGGCATCTTCTACATTACATTTGCTTTCCATTTTGAGTTCATAATCAAACAAAGATAGTAGATTTACTCTATTTCCCAGATAATAAAATATAATCAGGAATGATTAGTCATGTTTTATGGCATCCCAATAATTGAATTATACCTAGTAAAAACCCATAAAACAGACTGAGGGTTGAAAGTGGATCTTATTTGTCCTCAGGAAAATTGGCAAAAAAATAATATTTCTGATAGTTTGAGCCCAATTTCAGGCTACTTCCAGTTCTGAGAATAATCAAAACCATCTCTATTTGAATAATGTGTTTTCCATTCCATCAAATTATGCCAAGAAACAGCCAATAAAATCATTAAAACCATTCTAGAAAAGACATCAAAGTTGCTATTATAAGCAAAACAAGCTGTCAGTTTTGCATGATTTTCTTTTATACTGTGCGCACTCACTGCATAAACCCATTCTCTCATAGCTAGGTCAAAATTTACCAATCACAGCTTGTCTAAGCAAGCTGAATGAGTTAAAAGGTACAGACAAGGACATGTTGACTTATTAGGGAGTCCAAAGCTACAGCATGGGTGACTGAGTCTTGCTTCACTGAGTGGTTTAAGTATTACTATTCCTGAAGTGAGGATGTACCTGTCCCTAAATAATCCTGCATTCAGGGTTCTCCTCATCTTTAATAATTGGCAAAGTCATCCTCAACTCCTGGAGGATGTGGAGCAAGTTGTCAAGGTTGTCTTGTTTTCCACCAAATACAACATTCTTGATACAACCAGTGGATCAAGAGGTTATCAAAACATTCAAGTACCACTACACACAGTCTGGTGCAGAAACTAGTGGCAGCAACTGACAAGACAGGACAGTGCAGTGCCAGAGTTTTGGTACAAATTTAACATTGAAGAAACACTCCCCTAAGTCAAAAAAGCATGGGATCATATACTAAAAATCACAACAACAAATGCTAGCTAGAGAAAAATATAGTGAATGATTTTACAGTTTTTTCATCAGCATTGCAAGTCAAGTTCAGGAAACTGTTGGTTCAACAAGGAGTGGCCCGGTAAGGGACTTGAAGATGACATCAATGAATTATAAGATTACAATGAGAAACCAAATGCAGAGGAAATGTTACAGGAATTAAATTCCCAGAGGCAGAGACACGATGAAGATAATGATAAACCTGAGCCTGAACAACAATTGCTGACACTGCAAGAGACACCTCAGTCACTGCATACTGCTGAGCAAGTTACAGACTTGCTGACTGAAAAGGATCATGCTTAGACTTTACTGACTGCAGTATAAAGAACTGCAGGGTAAATTAAACTGACAAAACTTCAACAATATCACATCAACCCCAACCATCAATTTTGGAACAGTAGAGCCACAGTCACCCACTCTGCTCATTTCTGGATAAGAATTACCAACCCATCTTGAGGGTGATTAACAAGTACAGTACAATATTAACCCTTTCAGGGTCCAGAGGTCAAATTTCAAACTATGCACCTGTGTCTAAGAATTTTCAAAAAATAATTTTGTTATTTTTTCTTATGAAATGGTAGAGAATCTTTTTCTGAAGGTAATAAAACAGAAAGTATGAAATTTGATGGAAAATTGACAAAATTATGCTCTCGCGATATTTACGCATCGGCGATTTTGCGGACTTTGACTCCCATTTTAGGCCAATTGCATTATTCCAGTCAACCAAATTCTTAGCTATTTCACTAGTATTACTTCTATTCTATCGATTGAGCACAAGAATTCGCCAAGTCAACTGTTTCTACTACAAAATAAAGTGATTGGAAATTGGTAATTTGGCCAATTTAATGCAAAGTTAAAAATGCTCCAATTTCAAAATAGGGCTCAGAATAAACAATGCAGGCACTCCTGGCACTAAACTAACATTTCCTCTGTTCATTAGTTGCATTTTCAGGCTTTGCTAATGAATTCCATTTTGATTTTTTATTCACATAATGAATTTTTATTCAAACCAAAAAATAGAACATTTACTGTTATGCAATATTGTAATACCTGTATAAATAATATCACCACATTTGTGAAAGTATATTAGACCCACCAGCTGGCATGTATTAGACGTGTGAGGTCATTTGTTTACTCTTGAACATCGGCAAAAATTTAACATTTCCACTACTTTGAGCTCAGTTTCAAGCCATTTCCAGTACTAAAACCAATCAAAATCATCTCTTTTTCTGTAATATGTCTTCCATTCTATCAAATGAGTGGTAGTGCAGTTTCAGGAACATAACCCACGTGAATTATGAATATCCAATGTACTTCCATTGTCAGTATAGCTACTGAATCCCCTTATATGTATACTTGTGCAGTATATTGTGGATCGTATCATCCATGTATATATTTAGGCTCCCTGGTCAGTAGGCTCAGTGACTAGCATGTGTGACGTCACGTGACGCTGTTGTGAGCCCTTCGCGACTTGGATCCTTCTCAGTTCCTGTTAGACCTACCAAGCAGCTACAGGCAGGCTGGGCCTCCCTCTTCACACACTGCCAATACATGTGTTACCATCCAACAAGTGTGTTTAACTCCAACCATCACATCTACGAATCCCCACTACAAATGGTGCCAGCGGAGGGCCTGTAATTCTGATGATTACAGCGATTTCTGGAGATAAATTTCTACTGAGCCGGTCGCCATCTTGTAACATTTAGGCCTCCCAAGACGGGTGATGCTCAACGTCCCAAGCCAGCTACCCCGAGCAAGCTTTCCCCAGACTATTGCTTCCTACTTACTGGTCAGTCTGTGTCTTAGTGTTTTAGTTGCTTATTTGCATTACTTCGAGGGGTTGACCCGGGTTTGCAAAGTAAACCAAGTCACCAAGCCAGTCTGTGGGGGTGAATCCAGCCCAGCTCTAAACCATTCCAGCTTTGCCTGCCAAGCCAGCTTTCCACCCCTGCTGTGCTCATCGTTACAAGTTCTCAAGCCAGTCTGTGTGAAGGGTTAAGCCAAGCCAGTCAGCAACTAACTGAGGTTACTTAACCCAGTACTCAAGCAAGCCACGTGGGTACAGTCTTCTCCATCGCTTTGTGCTTCCAGTTCTAGCTGATCTGAGTGCTTTATCATCCCTGTGGTGTTGTGGTATTTTGTGGGCTTTTTAAGCCAGCCTGGCTTAGAATATTTTTGTGCCTAGTGCGGGTGTCAAGTGGCTTACGCCACTCATCCCATAGGCCCAGTGACCACGCAGTGTCTCAGCGCGGCTGCCTCAAGCACTCACACCATCACCACTACCACTGTAATTTTTACCCTTACAACCGGTTCTAGCACCATATTTTACGGACCACAGAGGGGATCAAGAGACAAGAGTGTTCCTTCGACCCTGTGCGCCTACATAAAAGCCTCCTGTGTGAGTCCATCATCAATTTAAGTGCAAATTCAACGTGTTTGAGAGTAGTGGAGTGCTGTGCCAGCTACAACCAACCTCCCTCCACCTCACATCACTACTCATTCTCCACCAACGTCATTACAGTGATCATATTTTTATAGACATTTGCGAGTGTTGAGACAATTTTGCAGTGATTCCTGAGTGACATTTCTTTTCAGTGACTCTTGATCAGTGTTCATTATATCCTGTTTGCAATTTTTTTTTTTTTCCTCTTTCTTCAGTGTTAATTTTTGTGCTTTATTTTATGTCTGTTGTGTTGTGTTTCATTTTGTTTTTTATATATGTGAAGTAAGTACTTTTCCATTTTTCCCTTGCTGTGTGCAATATATAAGCAGTATAACCTTGTGTTTATACTTCACAATTATCGTGTGTTCACAGTACTGTGTTCCTTGCCTAGTAATTTATAAAGTGAAGTAATTCAGTAACTTGTTATCTTATATTCTGCATCACAACTCAGTGTTGCCTCAGTTATTTTTTTTTTCTCCCAGCATTTGTGTATTCTTGCTGTTTTTGTTTTTATTCATTTGCCATTTTTTTTTCTGTGTGTTGAACATTCGTGTGTTAATTCTTTTTATTTAGCCAGTGTCTAATTTGTCTTATTTCCACAGACAATAGTGCCATTATTTTGTTGAAGCAAGACAATTATTTTCCAATTTTTCACACCCCAAGTTTCATTGCAAGAAAATTCTCATAGTATTGTGCTTACATTGATATATTTTGTTGTGTCCCTGCATCACTGTGAGTCTTAACCTTTCTTTGTTTTGTATTTTTTGCCTCTATTATTTTTCATATTTCACTGAACAAATTCACTCTTAGTGCAATTTTTGCCTTCTTTTTAAAGTAAA